CCTCCAGCCTACGCTTCTTCCTTGTGCATAGCCTTGAGGTCAGCCAGAGGTGAGAGCTCAGGGCCTTGTCAATTCTCTCTTGGACATGTGCACAGCCCTGTGCATGCACAAGGCCTTCTAGATTCCCCAAAATATGCTGAAGCTTTTGAAAGCCCCCCATGAACATCTCATTCCACAACCGCTTTTTAATTTTTTTGCACCCTCTGCCCACCATAAGGGCCAGCAACATCCAAATCCTTTCAGAGGGAAGCCAAGGGTAGATAGTAATTCAAGGTAATAGATGATGCACCACAGAAAATGTCCTGGTATAAAATTACTCCTTTCACGTAAGCCTTGGCAATCAGACCCAAACAATCCCTGACATGGGTGACAGCATCATGTCATTTCATGGGTAGGAGCAATGGGAATGTCCATTATCCCAGATGTGATGTGAGGTTTCCCACAAATACACTGCCACTCCAGCTTCACCCTCAGCCCCGACAACCAGAAATAACTGAGGCTATAGGACCTCTCACTGGAAGGTTCTGTGACTCTAAGTAAATCCCTTAAATTACATCAAAGAACCCCAGGTCACCCAGGAAGAAAAACTTGCCCGTACATCACAGATGAAGGGTTAGACCCCAGGTACGCCAACTCTTCTGAGGCAAACGCCAGGCCACCATCTCACTCTCCTCTCCCCGACAGCAGACGCCCAGCCCAGCACCAAGTCCTAGCCACTTCACCTCTAAAATCTGAAGTCTCGCCTCTCCTGTTCATCTGCAACACCACCACCTCCAGCTGAAGCACACAGAGACTCCCAAGGTAGAGAGGAGTATTCCTTCCACCTCTGTTCACTCCTCACCTCTCTCCTTCACGTCTCTGCCCCACATCATGCTGCGTGGCTTTATTCTGATATCTGCCCGTCAACTAGCCTCTCGGCCTCCAGTCTCACAGTGGCCCATCTCAACATCACCCACTGCGAGATGGAGGATGAGTCACGGGACTCTCACTTTAGAAACTGCAGCAGAATCCCCACTGCCTGCAGGACAGAGCACCCCCATCTCTCCTGCTTTGCCCGCTAGCTGCTTCTTATACTCCCTACAGGTACAGTCATAGTGGAGGACCACAACCTCCCAGAAGGAGCAACACTCTTCCAGTTCCATACCTTTTCACACATTTTCCTCTCAAAGTGAACTTTTACAGCTGGCAAAATGCAGCTTTAAGGCCCCCTCTACTGTGGGCCCTCCCTGACTTAGGGTATCATCTGACACCCCCGCAGCACTCTCTTCAAATGTCTGACTGTCGGTTAAGTACTAGAATCCTGCAGTCCCACCTTCTCTACTGGGCTATGGAAGACCGATCAATGGCCCAGATTGGCTAATAACAATCTAAGACCAAACACCCTACGGTTGTCTAATACCTGAGGACTGGATTAGGAATGAAAAAAGAAACCGTGGCAGACAGTTGCTGTTTTCATTATAAAAGGACATGGGTTAGCAACATTCCACTAAAACTCTTAAAATAGAGACCCCCAAACTTCATCCTATAAACTTATAGGTTCTAAGTAGTTCTACCAAAAATCCTCAACAATTCACTTCTTAAAACTGTGCCAGAAATAATTTATAGATTTAATATTAGTAACCTGATGGGATACAATAGCTGATGAGGCAAAGTTGCATTTAAATACTTATATGATCCGGGACTTCCCTGGTGGCGCAGTGGATAAGACTCCATGCTCCCAATGCAGGAGGCCCGGGTTCCATCCCTGGTCAGAGAACTAGATCCCATGTGCATGCTGCAACTAAGAGTTTGCATTCCACAACTAAGGAGTCCATGAGCTGCAACTAAGGAGCCCTGGAGTTGTAACTAAGGAGCCCGCCTGCTACAACTAAGACCCGGTGTAACCAAATAAGTAAGTATTAAATAAATAAATAAATACCTATATGATCCAAAGTTTGGATTTCTTTGTAACCTCTACTTCTTTCAGTCCGGGGCCTACTTCTCCTGCCTTACACCTACACCAACTTAAATATTAGGCCTTGATGGTCCGTTAGGCCAGGCCCTGAAGGCAGCCAAAGCTCACCTGGGCCGAGATGCCAAGAGGAGCAGTCCCTCTGGGTATTCACCCGTGCAGCAGTGGATGGCCCAGTGCCCCGTGAGACCGGTGTGTCCATCCAACATCTTGGTGGGCTCAGAGTCACCTCATGCTCCGGGGTAGACTGTGGTCTCTGTCACCAGGGCAATGGTGCTCGCAAAGACCCATTTCCGTAAATCCCCCTTTCCGCCATTGTCTGAGACTTCGCTTTACTCTTCGTCTCAATATTAAGGATCTGAAGCGTCTTCCCAGCTAGTTTTTAATGTGAGGGAGATTAGAGAAAGATAAATTAAAAATTAGAAAGACAAATTCTACACTCTTAATTCTGTATCTTTCTATTACTTTAAGATGTACTACTTACAGCTAATCTGATTAAGAGGAAAAAGAAAATGTCTCGAGTAGTAATTAACCACGTTAACTTCTAAATATTGACAAGAGCCTCCTAGGCATTACCTCCTTCTCAGAAGAGTGTAAAAGCGTGTCAGTATTTATACTCACGTTAGAAAATATGTTGAAGGACTTCCCTGGTGGCGCAGTGGTTAAGAATCTGCCTGCCAATCCAGGGGACACAGGTTCGATCCCTGGTCCAGGAAGATCCCACATGCCACGGTGCAACTAAGCCGGTGCACCACAACTACTGAGCCTGTGCTCTAGAGCCTGCGAGCCACAACTACTGAGCCCACGTGCCACAACTACTGAAGCCCGTGCACCTAGAACCTGTGCTCCACAATGAGAGAAGCCACTGCAATGAGAAGCCTGTGCGCTGCAACTAGAGAAAGCCCGCGCACAGCAACGAAGACGCAACACAGACTAACGTAAATAAATAAATTAAAAAAAATCACTTCTGTGGTGTGATGCCCAGGGTGTGGCAGTCATTTAAAAAAAGAAAAAAAGAATAAAGGAATTTTATGGCCTTTAAATTCCACCTGCATAAAGTAGTCAGACACAGAAACAAAGGCTGGACTGCAAGTGCAACTCCAGGATAGGGCTGCCTTCCGGGGTCAAACAGCCCAGGCTCAGGGGAAACATCCTCCAGCTGGAAACCTGGTCAAGCTGTCCTCAGACTGGCTAAAAATAACTTGTTTTACATGCAGTACAAACTATCTAGCATCACAACAAAAAACAAAACAAGGACCAAACACCCCTTTGGGAATCAACCTCAGGACTGAGGTCCTGGCAGTGAAGGGGTCCCGCCACGAGGGGGCGCCATCCACTGCCCTGCGCGCCCACCTGAGCCAGGCCACCTGCTTGGCTGGCAGCAGCCTGCACCCCACGTGCCTCTAAAAATGAAGGGAAAGAGGTAACATTTGTGAAGAGAAGCACACGCAAATGCTCAGAGGACAGTGTTTCCTAATAACAGCAGGAATATCACACTTGGGCCGTGATACAAAATCACAAACTGTAGGGGCACGAAGACCCCGGTCACACATTCATGTTTTGTGTTTACAACTCTTTAAAAATATAAAAACCACCCTTAGCTTGGGGTCTAAGTCTGCTGATCCCGCAGGCAGAGTATTAATATTCCATGAAAACAGCAGCAGTGAGGGATTCTACCCGACTTCAGGCTCTTTGGGTGAAGGGTGAAAATGCATCTCTGAAAATATCCACCAGGAATCCATCAGTGGACGGTCTGAAGGGCCCAGGGTGAGCGAGTCTGCTCGGACGGCTCCAGAAGGAACTCTCAACCAGGTGGGAGCGGGCTGCAAAGCAGAGCTTTTAAACAAGAGCCCGATGGACTTCCCCGGCCGTCTAGTGGTTAGGGCTCCGTGCTTCCACAGCAGGGGACGTGGGCTCGATCCCTAGTCGGGGAACTAAGATCCCGCATGCAGCGTGGCGTTGCCGAAAACAAGAAAGAACCCTGTTCCCCCACGAGCCCTCAGCCAACATGGGCGCCCGTGATCCTCCAGGCTCAGACCCCCACCCCCACGAGTTCACACCAGCCCCCATGGAACAGCCCGGGCTTGTGAAACAGTAACAGTGTAATTCAGTTACCTGTGTAATGCTATCTTGTATTTAAAAAAATACTTTTTTAAAGACAACTTTGCTCACTTTGGTGTTGCCTCCATTTGCCAGCAACATGTACTACAGGGTCCAGGATCCTCCTGTGGCCACAGGGTTGCAGTAAGAACAGGAGAAAAGCCTTAAAATGACATCACATTGGTCCTACCGCCTCACGCTTCCTTGTGCAAAAGAAAACAGCAAAAAAAAAAAAAAAAAGAAAAAGAAAACAGTGCCGCACGTGGTTCCAGCTGCAGCAGCTCATGTGAACACGGAGAGAAGAGGGGCAGCCGGGCAGCTGGAGGCGGGCCACGCTGCCCTCCCGGAATGGGAGCTACTCACAGAGCCCCCGGGGACCGAGATGCAGTGAGATGGGAAGGCCACTTCAGGGCGTGATCCAAGCACAGATGACAACCAAGTCACTGTGCCTCCCCTGAGACACAAAGAGCCCCCGCCTGGCAAAAATGAGTGGCTGCTATCTCTTCACCCATCCCAGCTTCACGCTCTCCAGTCTGCCCCCACCGCACCCCACCACCGCCGTAGGAGGGTTCCTGAGATGCCCAATCAGAGAATCACTCCCCTCTCTGACAGCGTCCAAGCTACAGCAAACTCTGGCTTCCTTAGACCGTCCCCCAGACCACCCAACGGAAGCCCAGATCCCATCAAAGCTTCTTCTTAACACCCTCCTACCCAGGCCCACCCTCCATGGTGCTCCTGGTGGTCTCTGGCTGGAGGGACGGACAACATGCAGATGCCGTGTTCTCTCTGCCCCCATGCCCACACCCCAGGAGAGCCACATGTTAAAGGGCCCAGGAGACCAACAGGCTGGGCATCGCGAGACCCGTGGAGCACACCAAGCAGCAAACAGCACACTAGACAGGGTCTCTCGACAATACTGTAAAAACAGAAAACGCAGAGGAGCCAAAAGTATCATTAAGAGTTCAGGAAGTTTAATAACTTCAATTAAACTTAAAGCAGTTTACAATGCTTACACTACATGTTCAAAAAAATAGTGACAAGAAATAGAGCTGATAACAGACAAAAGATCATTTCAAATAAAAGTTATTCAGCTATTTCTTTTTGAACAGAAAGGTCTTCACTTCCAGATGTCCCTCTACCTACTGAAATGACCAAGTAGACCCTCTTTCTGTAAAAAAAATAGAAGCAACGCAAAGCTAATATTTGGCCTTCACAGATTTTAGGTCCAGAAAGTGCTTTCACTTTTCAAAGTAAGGATAAAGGTTTCACGTAAAACACTAGCAAGCCCAGTATATACATAATCCTTTCAGTTCCTGAATCCTGGCAGTAAGGAAAGATTCTATGTCCTCAGAGTAACTAGATTTCAAGCACCTGAGACCCCAAGTCCAGGGAAGTGAAATTCTACTAATGCCCAACGGCCCCGTCATTGGCACATTTCCCAAGTGAAGCAGGATCTGGATGCACACTCCAAGCTGCCTGGACAACCTCCCTCCCCCCCATCACCCAACCTTCCCCTCTGAGGTCAAGAGTGCCTGCAGGGCGAGGCATGGCACTCCCTCCCTCACATGCATCTGGACATAGCAGTGAGGGCACCAAAGCTCAGGGCCTCTTACTGAACAGGACGCGCAAGACACAGCTTCTGCTAAAACTTCTTGAGTTTAATGCTACTGATGACACTTTGCTGTGAGTGTCTGACGCTTGTTCAATATAAAAGGTAACAAAGCAGGTGAGGTAAATGCCTTTCTGAACATCCGTCAGGAGTACCTTCCAGAGGCTGGATGCACGGTGGCTCTGTCTGCAGACTGGCCATGCAGCAGGTGCCGTGGGTCACTCATGCCAGTGTTCACCACCTGTGCCGGCTCGTCCTGGGCACACGGAATCCTGCCAGGTCCCATGGTCAGTATGCTGAAGCCAGCATCAGCTGGATTAAGTCCCAGGCTTTGGAGCTAAACAGAAAAGAAGCATTTGATTAAAGTAAGTTTTTCCTCTCTGAAACAGATCAGATCTAGACCAGATAAGGGATCACTGCAAGTGACTACTGGCGGCCAATGCGAACATGCATCTCTATGCCTTTAACAGGTACAGCCAGCACAGCAGCAACAGGCTTCCAGGAGCCCGCAACCCTGAGGGGCTGAACACACGGGAACCCACAGGAGTAAGGATGACAGCAGTAGGGGGGAGCCCGGTCATGACCATGGCGAGCCGGCGGGAAGGAGGCCTTGGGGACGGGCCCAGAAACTGGCTTCCCCAAAGGAAGCAATAACAAAGACCCGCCCAAGAGCTTTTGCTTAAAGCATTCCCCTGCATGTCACAATGTCTAAATCTACTTCCTTGGGGCTTCCCTGGTGGTGCAGTGGTTAAGAATCCGCCTGCCAATGCAGGTGACACGGGTTCAAGTCCGAGTCTGGGACGATCCCACATGCGTCGGAGCAACTAAGCCTGTGCGCCACAACTACTGAGCCTGCGCTCTAGAGCCCGTGAGCCACAACTACTGAAGCCCACGCGCCTAGAGCCTGTGTTCCGCAACAAGAGAAGCCACCACAATGAGAAGCCCGTGCACCGCAAGGAAGAGTATCCGCCGCTCAACGCAACTAGAGAAAGCCCGCACGCAGCAACAAAGACCCAACGCAGCCAAAAATAATAAAATAAATTTAAAAATACATATGTTAAAAAAAAATTAGTGATTTGAGTCCAGTTCCTCACGTAAGAGCTTATACACACATTCATGGCAGTGGGAGAAGTCCAGTACCTCACAAACATAAGATGGTGTCTTAACATCTGGGAACCATGGACGCAAAAATTAGCCAGAGACCATTAGAACCAGAACAAATGAAGACGGTGGTTCTAGCCGGGTGGGATCCTGCAGTCTCTGGAGACAGGCAGGGACAGCTTTAACTCCAACGACTCGAGAACCCTGAGTGCTGGGGCCCGGGATGCTAAACACAGCACAACCCCACACAGAGTACCAGATACCCCTGAGTTTTACTCCACGTGCAAAAAGAGTCCCGAGATGCGGTTTTCCATTAGTCAGTAGAAATAACCAAGGACTCTGATTCCCAGAATAATCAGTCTGGTAGGTAACCAAGCTACACATTTAAACAGCCCGTATCAGAGTTAATAAAAGTAGACAAGGGACCTCCCCAGCAGTCCAGTGGTTGGGACTCTGCCTTCCAATGCAGGGGGCACAGGTTCGATCTCTGGTCGGGGAACTTAAATCCCACGTGCTGTGTGGTGCAGCCAAAAATTAAAAAAAAAAAAAAAAAAAAAAAAGGCACTCTCCCAATCCTTTCGGTTCTCTAGACCTGTGATGAAACGAACCCAAATTCGAATCTGACGCTGAGGAAAACATAAAAGCAACTGCGCATCTGAATGTCCTGTGGCTGCTCTATTGAAGGGACCGCAGCCTGGCCGGCAGGGCCGCAGCTGTGCTCACACAAGTCGCTGGTGACAACACTAGCTTCTCGTGTCAAAGAGCCAGACGCCCCACGGGGTCAACGCCTGGGCTGTCACCTCTGGGCCTTGTTCCTCCTGCGTCTGTCTCCTCCCCAGGCTCACTCACTGCCGATCCCAGGGCCCAGAACATGGATGTTATATAATTAATTGGTAGAGAGGTTACTTGTTCTAGGCAGTCAAGAAAATATGCAGTTTAAGAAAATATATTTCAAACTTATTAGCAAGCCTTTTCCTATGTTAGAGGAAGCTCTGTAAATGAGGGCCTATGAAAAAATGGTGATACTAAGGTCTTTTCTGGAACTTACCTAAATTTTAGGACTAGGTTAGTTCAGGATAGTTTAAAAGCTACATTTTTAGTGCATTACAGACTTCTCTCAAATTACACCACAGCAAGTTTTCTCTATTTTAAAACCAATGCATAAGACCCTATATTTATCCCTGTTAAATGTCATCTACTTGGATCCCAGGCTGTCAAGATCTGCTTGGATTCTAATTTTGCCCCTGAACTTCGCCATCCCAGCTCCGTGGCGCCATTCCTCAGCCAGCCCAGGGGGATGGTCACCTCCCCTGCACAGAGGGTCCAGCGGGCCTCCAGCAAGAGAGATGGCAGAAGAAAATGAACAGGCTAAAAGCAGAGAAGGAGGTGAAGCAGCAAGGGAAAGAAAAATCAGGACGAGCAGGGAGGCGAGGACACATTTCCAGGACGGGGTGACAGGGAGCCAACAACTACCATCCCAGGGGATGTTAGTAAGCAATTCTGTCAAATACATGCTGGGATCTGTATGTGATTTTTTTCCCCCTTGGCCACACCGTGCAGTATGTGGGATCTTAGTTCCCCAACCAGGGATCGAACCCATGCTCCTGGAATTGGAAGTGCAGTCTTGACCACTGGACCGCCAGGGAAGTCCCAGTACAATATGTGATTTCAAAAGAAATCTTCAAACCGTGTTAAGTTACAAAAGCAAAGGCCAGGAGAATATTTTTACTATAATTCTTTTAATCAATTTTTTGAAAATATAATGCTTTCCTTAACAGTTTCTTATGGGGAGAGAGACCCCCCTGGTTCCACAGTTTCCATTCATACTTTTTATTTGGGGCAATTCTTCCATGCACACATATTACTTTAAAGTCTGTTCCAAATACTTCTGCCCCAGCTACAGGACGCCGAGGAGCCTGGGGAAGCTTGGCTAAGATCACGTGGGACATGACACCTCCATTGACCCAACAAAACTCAAAGAGCACTGGGAAGCATGTGCGGTTTGGGAATCTTGAACATTTAAAATTGTTTTTCCAAAGATGCCCGACTCTAATCCATCCGATACTCGGTCACTCACCTGCCACACACTCACTTTGTAAACAAGAAAGTCAGACGCAAATGATCAGCCCAGCGTCTACCTCCAGTATAAGGACAATCAGTCCGCCAACAGGTAAAATTTAACAGCTTACACAAGACCTTACAAAAAGCTTCATATAAACGTAGAACAACAATTCTAGGACACAGTAAGCCCACTGTTGTGCGTCTTAGAATCTGAAAAGTGGCAGAAATAGAAACACAGATGGAGAGAACAAACGTATGGACACCAAGGGGGGAAAGTGCGGGGTGGGGTGGTGGTGGTGGGACGAATTGGGAGACTGGGATTGACATATATACACTGGTATGTATAAAATAGATAACTAATAAGAACCTGCTGTATAATAAATAAATAAAGAAAAGAAAAAGAAAAAGAATCTGAAAAGCGAGGCAGCAACATAAACCAAGCATGTTCTGGGCGGACATGTCCTCCCCAGAGCCCTGCCAGCACGCCTGGATGCTCAACGTCTTCAGTTCAAGCTCAGACCCCACGTGAAAAAGGCTTCAAACATCAACCTCTCTAACTATGAATAATGACTAACCTCTAGAAGACTGGTTCTCAGCTTCGTCTGGAGGCAACACCACAGCGCAGAGACTCGGATTTCCACCCGAGATGGTCCCGCCGGGTGCTGTGAAGTCCCAGCCGCGCCAAGAGGCGCTAATCAAGACCAGAGACTGCCAGGCTCCTGAAACTTACACGGGTTCCCTTGGCCAAGTCCACATCTGTTAAGAGCATCACCTCTGAGCTCCAAGATCAGACCCTGAGGGACCAGTCTGTATGCCTCTGTGGGGGAGCTGTGCCACGTTTCAAAACTCACACACCAGCAGCTGCTTCCTGACGCAGCCGGGAGAGAATTCCTGGAGCTCTGAACAGAAATTTTCTGCCACCGAACGGTCCAGCCAGTCCTCTTGTGAATCAAGGCATACCCAGTTCTTAGCCCTTCAGATAAACGTAGGGGTCTGGGGTCGGCGGTGCCCTCTGGGACCCTCAGGCAGCTGGGACGTTTTTTGCCGTTCTCGGATATCACAAACAGCAACCGCCTTCAAACTCAGGTATATGATTTTGTTTTAAGTTCAGATAGTACTTATGAGAAATGTTTCTGCAGCACCAGTCCGCCCCTCCAAACTAGGGTGACAGGATAAATAAAGCAAAATAACTCGCCACTGTCTGAAGCCCAAGTGGAGGGAACACCTTATTAGGACGCAAGAGATGTAACACGTGTGGCCTCTGCCCACTGCGCTCTGGAGAAGCTGACCATAGAGTAACGGTTCCTGCACATGTATTTGTTTCCCCACCGACCGTTATAAAAATATTGTTTTTCCTCTGGGGAAAATCATGTGGAACAAACTAAATTTAAAAACAGAAAAAAAAAATTGTTACAATTAGATCACCTGTAAAGTATCTAGAATTATTTTTCTATAGGTGGCACAGAAACCAAGATCTAGAGGAAAAACAGTTTAAACGAATAGAACTGCTATTTTACAGTCACAAGTCTACATCCTCCACTTCCTAATACTGTACAACTGGAGAACCGATGTCCACTCTCTTAAAGGATTTTTGGTCTGGGGAGCGATCAGGTGGGGTGAAGGGCCCCAGGGGAGCAAGCTGGGGGCCCGGAAAAGCACACGAACCGCGTCACCAGACAGTCCTCGTGATACCTGATCGGTCACCGACTATCCAAACATCTTATTAGGAAATCGCTTTCACTCCTTCACGGATCTGAGGGCCTGCTTGGCCCCGGGCAGTGGGTTCCTGTGCTCGCAGGCCCGAGGGAAAGCAGTGACCACACCATGGGATGGGGCGTCCTCAGGGAAGCCCCCAGACCACGGGCGCGGAGAGGGGGCCCCTCACCCTGGAGGTCAGGGCCGGCCTGGGGTGGGGGGCGTCGTCTGATCAGAAACCAGAGGCTAAGCAGCTGGTGGCTGGGAAAGAGGGGGCGAGGGGGGAGCGTGTTCTGCAAAGAGGCAGCAGCACGTGCCGAGGCTCACGGGCCAGCGTGGGGGCTGCAGAGAAGGAGGACATGTGGGGGGGCAGCGAGAGGGTCTTCCCGGGGCCCCGCGGGTCCGGCATCCTCACCCCGGGGCAACGGGGCCGCTCACCAAAGGACTTGAAGCGGACGGCTGTCCTCTGGGAAAACGCCTCTGCCCGGGTGCTGGGCAGGGACCCGGGCCAAGGCCGGAGAACGAAACCCAGGGACAGAGTCGGCGCCGCCCCCACCCAGGGAGGAGCGCGAAGCCCGGGAAGGACACTCGGGCCCGAGGGCCGAGCAGCCCCCGCTGTCCGCGCACCAGGAGGCGACATATGGTCGGACCTTCGTCCTCCGCCCGCGTCCAAGTCTGAGCCCCGGGGGTTTTCTAGCCCGCGAACGCCAGGCGGCCCGCACGCGCGGCACCCGCGGCCCCACCGCACCGTGCTGGGGTATGGGGTCGGCGGTGCCCTCTGGGACCCTCAGGCGGCTGGGACGCGGCCGAAGGACCGAGCGCGACCCATCCCCGCGCAGCTCCCGGATCTCACCTGGAAGGTCCTGAGAGAAACGCACAAGCTGGCGGTCAGGGAGGCGCGGAGCGCCCACCGGAGACGCGCATGCACACTAATTGAGGTGCGCATGCGCACTGATTGGAGCACGCCGCGTCGACTCTTTCCGCGCTCCCTCCGCCCGCGCTCCCTCCGCCGGCCGCCCGGAGTGGGGGCGGGGGTCTGCGAAAAGTAGTCCCGGGTGTGGCTGCCGGTCCTCTCAGTGCCCCGAGCAGGAACGAGTCTGCGCTGCCCCGCTGGTGCCCAGGGAAGGTGAAGGGGTCCCGGGTTGACCCCCGGCAGGTGTGCGCGGGAAGGTGAACGGGTCTCGGGCCGACTCCTGGCCGTGCCCAGGTCAGGTGCGCGCGGACAGACTAGGCACGGGCTGCACTCAGCAAGTTCCCCGAGTGACGGGGTTCCAGGCGGGAGAAGCCCAGTTCCGGCGCCCTTCCCTCGAGCCCTCCATGTGCAGAGAAAGGGCAGAGGGGGAAGGTCTGGACAGTTGAGTTCAGGGACATTTTTAAAATTCAGGCACAGATGGGCCAAAAACACCGCGAAAGGAGTCTCGGAATTACGTGTGATGTGTTTACATGCAAGGCGCTCCTAAACATCTTTCCTGGCTTTGCATGTAAACATTTCTGGACACTGTTGGGTCAGAACATCGGTGCGGAGAGCTGAGAGGTCGCAAAGCAGCAGGTGGACCACCGAAGGCGCAACGGTCACCTGGGTGGCCGGTGGCTGCACATCTGTAGTGGCAGGTCCGGCACGGAAAGCACACCTGGTTCGCCCAGCGGTCATTGTTTCCCGAGGCACCTTTTGAAGGTGTTTTGCGCACAGGTGGCTCGGCTGCATACAGGATGTTCGTCAGGGAAGGGGAGGCCTGAGCTGTCTGCGTTCCCACGCTCGGGGTAACCCATCTCCTCTGCGCTCCGCCTTGCTCCCCGGTAATTTTAAGAAATGAATAGGACACCGTGAATAACACAGTGATGGTGCAATTATTTGCACAACAGCTTCACAATCTAGCAGCCAAAAATACGTTAAAGAAGAAAACAGATTATTCACTTTCAAATTAAATCTCTTTCCAGTGTTAGCCGAGACCTCTGCAGACTGCAGGTTCCACGTCTGCAGCCTCATCAGCTAACAATATGGACTCTGTGGGTAGTACTGCATTTCCCAAATCTCTATTTTGGCAGTAATGCCTATGATCCCAAGCACCCTTCACCCCGAACACTATATAAAGCCTTTAGTATTTGTAGTATTTCATTCCCTAAATCCCCACCCTTCCCCCCACCCCACCCCTCCTCCCACCCCAGGGCTTTTGGAGGTCAAAACTAAAAATGTACAACCTAGAAGAAAGGAATTTTAGGAAAATTGTAGTTAAGCAAAATGACAGGATTGTTAATAAGTCAGGACCTCGCCCAGTGTCTTTACGTGTAAAGGAACTAGAACATCTGATTTGAAAAGGATTCTAATAACCTCACTGCTGGTAACTTGCCAAGTAATCCTGAAAAAAATCTTTAAATCCTTTGTGATGATTTCCCATCTTCACAATAGAAATGATGAGCTCCCACAACTCAATAAGATCAACAACCAAATAGAAAAATGGGCAAAAACATATGAAAAAATAATGCATAGAAAAGAAATACGACTGATTCTTAAACATGAAAAATAAGAACCTAACTTCACTCATAAGCAAAAGGCAAATTCTAGCTATCCTACAGTTATTCTTGCAGACCTTCATCCTACAAATAAAACTCTAAGGAAAATAAGCTCATGTTAAAAAATAATAATAAAATTAAAAAAAACACTCAAGGAAACAAGTCACCACAAGAAAGAACAAGGAGAACCAAGAGACAGATACTGTCACAGAGGTTGAGAAAATGAACTCATCACAGACTTTAAATTACTATATTTAATGTATTTAAAGAGCTAAATGGCAAACTTAAAAATACATGTGGGAAAGAAACTGTAAAGAATGACCAAGCAGATTTGAAAAAGAACCAAATAGACATTCTAGAAATGCAAACTGTAACAGTATAGTAAAGCCTTGGTGTAACATTCTAAGTGGGTCCAAAATATCTAATCATGTTGATGTCAGTGAATAAAATGAGACTAGAGGAGGGAAGGTTGGGAATTTTGTCCGTCAGAATCCAGCCCGGTGACAGAAACCACACCAGCTGCTTGAACAGAGGGAACAGAATGTAAACAAGAGGTAAGGGAGAGCTGGAAGGGTAGGACCAGAACCCAGGTGGTGGTGGAGGGGCAGGTGTAGGAAGGGCCATGCCCCCAGAGCTCGGGGTGAATGGGAAGAACCTGGAAACATTGCACCTTTGAAGAAGGGTCTGCAGAGCTGGAACTCAGCCCCTGGGAGGAGGAGGTGGACGGCTGGGGCCAGAGTTTCCAATCCTAGAGGAGGGGTCCCCAGAGGCTGGGATACAGACCTCGGAGGAGGAGGTGCGTTGAGGCTGGTTCTGCAAGTCTTGGAGAAACTGCAGCCTGGCTTCAGCCTCTTGGGCGGGAAGACTGCTCTGCCTGGTGAAGAGGTGGGGCTGGGGCGATGCCTCTGGGATCAGAGCCCGCAGGCGCCCTCCAGCGCCCCTAGGCGGAGGCCGACTGAACATCTGCCAGCGGTTTTCAGAGCCTCAGCCCCAGCACCACATGGCCGTTTATGGAAGGGGGAAGGAAGGGAGAGCTGAAAAACAGAAGACGATAACGAGCACAGAAATCGTGTCATATCCAAATCCAAGTTCTCGCGGGCTTTCCGATACGTGAAATTAAACCGTCCCTGGAGAACTTCCGTTTCCGGAAAGCAGCAGAGAACCAACAAGTAGGTGGCTGACAACTGGGCCAACATCCGGGAAACAGAGGAAGTGAGCAAGGTTATCCGGGTATCAGGGATGCTTCTCCTGAGGGGCGTTAGCCAGTTCCAGAGCAGGGCCAAGAGGGCAGCAGCACCTTTAACACCCTCGCAGCCCTGGGAGGACAAAGTTCGGAGTCTGGGAACCACCACGGAGGTAACCTCATGTGGTATTTTGGACCCCAGGTTGTTTGGGACTCCGTTCAAATAATGTCAGTCCTTGCCAGCAGCAAATATAGGTTCTCTCAGGAGAGAGAGAGCCTCATGATAGAGTTCAAATTATTTCTACAGTTGTTCATGTGCAGTGATCAGCATTCAGTCAGGAATAAGCAGATGTCCAAGGAGAGAAGACAAATGACTGTAAACGAAGAGAAGTAACAAACAGACCTGCAGCGGGTCCAGATAACAGACTTTTTCCAAAGACTTAAAGGGCTATGCTTTATATGGTAAAAGGATGAAAGACAAGATTGAGAACCTTATCACTGACCTGCAAACTATGAAAGAAGAACCAACTGGACGTTCTAGAACTGAAAAATGTAACTGAAACGGAAAATTCAATGGATAGTGTTGTTGGTAGGTTACACACAGCTGAAAAGAGAAAAGTAATGAAGGTGGAGTTAGGTCAGAAGAATATACCCAAACTGAAGCACAGAGAGAAGAGGGTAGAAAGATACATAATACAGTAAGACAGCCTGATCTTCATGGAATTGGGGTCCTAGAAGTGGAGAGAATAGGCAGAAGCAGTGTCTGAAGAGATAAAGGCTTGAAGTCTTTTTAAAATTGATGGAATACGTCAAGCTTCAGGTTCCAGAAGCCTTACAGATTTCAATCATAATTCACAAAAAACAAACCACACTTAGGCATATCATAGTAAAACTGCTGAGAACTTAAAAAAAAAATCTTAAAAGCAGCCATACTGAAAAAAAAAATCACTTTCTAAGAAGCAATAATTAAACTGAGAACTGACTTCTCAAACTATAGAAGCCAGAACACAGAAGAATCATATCTTCAAAGTGGGAAAGTAAAATAACTGCTAACCTAGATTTTATATCCAGCAAAAAATTCCTTTAGGAATGAAAGGGAAATTATGACATTTGCAGACAAATGAGATCTGAGAAAATCCATTACTGGTAGACTTTAACCAAAGGAAATACTAATGGATTTTCTTTAGACAAAAATAAAATGATTTCTAATTGGAAGGTCAGAGATGTAGGAAGAATAAAATTCAACAAGAAGAGTGTGTTGGTAAATCTAAATGAAAGTCGACTGTATAACACAAAAATAACAATGCCTTCAAGGATTAAAAACATATCAGGGCTTCCCTGGTGGTGCAGTGGTTAAGAGTCCGCCTGCCGATGCAGGGGACATGGGTTCGTGCCCCGGTCCGGGAAGATCCCACATGCCGCGGAGCGGCTGGGCCCGTGAGCCATGGCTACTGAGCCTGCGCATCCGGAGCCTGTGCTCCACAACGGGAGAGGCCACGGCAGTGAGAGGCCCGCGTACAGCAAAAAAAAAAAAAAAAAATCAGAATTAAAATATATGAAAACTATAGTGTGTAAGTTGGGGTGGAATAAATTGATTTAAGGTATTCTAATATCAAAACCCAAGCATCGTCTGAGAAAAGGGTGCACAAAGGCTAGATTTGTAGTACATTGAATTATCGATCCTACGTCTTAATCCCCTGCAGCGGTTTGTTCATCCACCCTCTTGCTGTGGCTTTGTGACGAGCTAAGGGGACCCCTTCATCCTTTGGGTCCCGGCATGGCCCTGGGACTCGCTTTGGTGGACTGAGTGTTAGCATCATGATACCAGCAAAGGTTTCAATGCCCTGCGCTGTCTGGCTTGCACTTCAGCACTTGCGCTGTGTCCGTGAGTACAAGTCCCCAGTACCCACTGCCTTTCCAGCCTGAAGTTCAGATTGGAGCATGTGGAGAAGACCTGGGCCCAATCTGAAGCCTTGGCACAAGATTAGCCAAGTTCATCCAAACCCCAACCAACCCACAAGTGAGTGAGGGAAAAAAAGTAAATGTGATTATAAGCCACAGATGTTGAGGCTGTTTTATACGTAGCATTATTGTGGTAAGGAAGTTACTACCCAGAAACAATGTACTTCCATAACAAAAAACAAATATGGGGCATTGCTTTGGGACCGGATGGTGGGTAGTAAGAAACTGTTATACAAAAAAAGAAAGAAAGAAAGAAAGAAAAACTGTTATACAACCCTGAGAAAATGAAGATCTGTGTGATTGACAAAATTACCTGTGGTAAATG